TGCTGCTCGTGCTACCGCTGCTGCTGCTGCTGCTGCTGCTGCTGCTGCTGCTGCTACTTGGGCTGCTGCTGCCGTTGCTGCTGCTGCTTCGTGCAGCAAAGATATTGGGGTGCCGCTTACAACACGTGTGGCCCTTTAGATAGCACTGTATTGTTGCGGGCTTACAGCTGAAGACGTGGTGTTTAGGGTTTAGGGTTTAGGGTTTAGGGTTTAGGGTTTGGGGTTTGGGGTTTGCATGCAGTTGGTTGCCAGCCCCGATGCCGAGCCCCTGGTGCAGTTTTTCTTAGATGTCATCGCTATGGCCCCGGGTGTATCCCCAGACACTGCGGAGGTGCCTACAGCAGCAGCAACAGGAGAAGCAGCAGCAGCAGCAGCAGCAGCAGCAGCAATGCACAGCAGCAAACGGGAGAAATCTGTTTCTTCAGAGCTGCATGCGCTTAACCCTTCTCTGTTTAACTTCATCTCTCTTGCTGCTCGTCTGCTGCTGCAGCAGCACACAGCGCCTGCTGCTGTTGCTGCTGCACTACGCGAGTTCCTTACAGGGGGCCCCCTGCAGGTGTTGGGGGCCCCTGGGGGCCCCCTGCAGTCGGGGGGGGGCCCCGGGGGCCCCCTGGCTTCTTCTCGAGTGTATAGGCAGCAACCAGCATTTGTAGCTGTCGCTGCTGCAGTGCTGCAGTCTAAAGAAATGTTTGCTGCTCTGTCTGCTGTCGGTACAGCAGAAGAAGCCTCAGCAGAGACACAGCAGCAGCAGCAGCAGCAGCAGCAGCAGCAGCAGCAGGATGAGGTGCTGCAGCAGTTTGAAGAGTGGAAGCAGCAGCTGCTGCTGCAGCAAAAGATAGAAAAAGCAGAGCTGCTGCAGCTGCTGCGGCTGTCGCTGACGGGCAAGGAGACAGGCCTCCCGCTGCTGCAGCAGGTGAGAAGGAGAAAGAAAAAAAAATAAACATTTGTTTTTCTTTGTTTTTGTTTGTGTAAAATAAAATATAAAATAAACAAATACAACCCTAAACCCTAAACCCTAAACCCTAAACCCTAAATAAATAAAATATATATTCTTCTTCTTTTCTTTTTTTTTGTTTTTTTTCCTTTTCTGTGTATTTTCTTTTTTTTTCGTTTGATGCACTTTTTTGTTTTTTGTTTTTTGTTTGTTTTGTTTGCTTCGTCTCTCGCTTTTACTTTTGCTTTCTTCTTATTTTATTCTCATTTATTTTTATTTTTATTTTATTTTTATCTTTTTATTTGTTTTATTTTTATTTATATTTATTTTTTTTTATTGCTGCAGCTACGCCTCCTCAAGGCAGCGGAGTTGGCTGGCCTCGCGCCGCAGCTAGCAGGAGACAGAGGAGACAAAGAAAAAGAAAAAGAAAAAGAAAAAGAAACAGAAAAAGAAATAGAGAGAAAAGGAGAAAGAAAAGGAGACGGAGAAGGAGACAGAGAGAGAGACAAAGAAGGAGAGAAAGAAAAAGAAATACAGAAAAAAGGAGACAGAGAAAGAGAAAGAGAGAGAAAAGAGAGCAGCAACATAAAACAAAAAAAAGAAAAAAACAAGCAAAAGGTGCCTATACACCCCGGGGTGTTATTTGTCTATCAGCAAAAAGTAAAGACACTGCAGCAGCGGCTAGCAGAGCTGCAGCAGCTCTTGAGGGAGCTGCCTATACACCCCACCTAAACCCTAAACCCTAAACCCTAAACCCTAATATATTACGCCAATATTTATATAGTATGTTATTAGTTCTCCTCCAACAGAAACAAAAACAGAAAAAGAAAGGAGGATGAGAGAGGCAGGCACGAAGCGCATACAAGCAAACGGTGCTGCTGCTGTTGCTGCTGCTGCAGCAACAGCAGAGCAACAGGACAATCTTTTGCTGCTGCTGCTGGTGCTGCTGCTGCTGCAGCAGAAGCTGCTGCTGCTGCAGCAGAAGCTGCTGCTCTGCCGTCTGTGGGTACACCTTGTTGTTTTTGTCTGTCTAATGCGATAAAACAACAAATATAATTTTTGTTTTTATTTATTTATTTTTATTTATTTTATTTTATTTTATTTATTTTATTTTATTTTATTTTATTTTATTTTATTTAGGCCTCCCACTCTTCACCCAGAGACGGGAGAACGCCAAAGAGAGAAGGCACAGGAAACATCCCCCTAACAAACAAACAAACAAACAAACAAAATAAATAAATAAATAAATAAATTAAATAAATAAATAAATAAATAATAAACAAAGGAGCAAAAGAAAAAGAAAAGAAACAGCAACAGAGTGAACAATATAAAAGATACAACAGCCAAAAACTGGAAATACAGAAAGAAAAAAAAACAAAAAACAACAAAAAAAAGAAATAAAAACAAAACAAAGAGACAAACCCAACCCAACGCCCCCTACAAACAACAAACAAATGCTACAAGCTGTACACACACACACACACATCCACAGCTAGGGTTTAGGGTTTAGGGTTTAGGGTTTAGGGTTTACCGCGCTGCTGGCGTCGCCCTATTGAAGCGGGCAATAGTAAGGAAGTCCTCCGTTGTGTCGTCCGTTATAAACCTGCATCAATATAAAATAAATAAAATAAAATAAAATAAATAAAATAAACAAAATAAATAAAATAAATAAAGTAAATAAAATAAATAAATAAATAAAATAAATAAATAAATAAAATAAATAAAATAAAATAATATTAATAAAATAAATTAAATAAATAAAATAAATAAAGGAAATTAGTAAAATAAAAATAAAGGAAAATAAAGTAAAAAATAAATGTTGTTTTTTCTCTCTCCTACACTCATGCTATAGATGAGTATGTGTCTGTGTCTGTGTCTGTTTTTTTTTTTTTTTTTTTTTTTTTTTTTTTTTTTTTTTTTTTTATTTGTGTCTGTCTCTGTTTGTGTTTTTTTCTTTTTTTCTGTTTTTTTGTTTCTGTCTCTCCCTCTCGCTTTCTCTGTCTCTTTGCCTTATTTATTTATTTATTTATTTATTATTTATATAATTATTTATTTATTTATTTATATTTATTTATTTATTTATTTATATTTATTTATATACCTGCCATCTGGTGGGTATCGATCGCAGTCATCTTCATCGCGCTGGTATTCACAGCTCCACACCCTCACCATCTTCTCAACTCCGCTCGTGGCCAGCATTGGCGGGCCCCACAGCCCCAACGGGCTCTGGGGGGACGGACTGCATGCATGCATGCATGCAGCAGCAGCAGCAGCAGCAGCAAAAACAGCAGCAGCAGCAGCAGGCCCTTCTTTTTAATAAACGGTATTTCCTTAACATACACATATATTATATATCTCTCTATATATTGTCTACCAT